AGTAGACCAGGAAGTCCGTGTGATGTGGAGGTCGTCACAGAGATTATTCCAAGCAGTGATGAACTCAAGTAAGATTTATTGTAGGGTGTCATCCATTAATGATCTCACGCTTTTTAGACCATTTTTAAGATGAGTTTTAAGATGAGTTTTAAGATGAGTTTTACCTCCCCCATCTCCCCTCCGTCACACAATGTCACAAAAAGCCAACCAAGTACATCAGCACTCAAAATTACAATTTTAAATTATATTTCAAATTATAACATGTTGACTGAGGTCAGTCAACATAGAGTATATTATTCAATTTATATTACAATTTACAAAAATAGCGTTGGAAAATAAACGTTAAAGTAGTTATAAATTATAAGACAGATTAGTAATTATAGCGATATTTTTTAAAAGTTAAATTAGAAGGGAGCTAACTCAGTATACGACGTTTTCCTGTTATTCCAGTTGTTCTAACACTGAAATCATACCTCAAGTTGTATTTGAAACTAAAAGCTGTGGCCAGAAATTTTCTCATGATGATTGGAAGGATGGAATCATTATTCCCGTGAAGGCAACAATAGACAGAATCATAGATGGGGACAGATATTTAACCATACAAAGCTACATTAAATTCAGTGGTTATGTAAGGCACTATCATAAACGTTTTATAAATTAAATTTTAAATGTTTGTAGAATGGGAAAGTTATGAATGCTACTTATGTTTTAATAACAACTAAAAGCTTTATACATCAATGCATCAGTGGTTACAAAAATTCTAGCTTTAACTTAATCGCTTTTGAATGACTTAGAAGTAGATCTACATCCATAAATTTATTGTTTCTCTCACCTTGTAGCTAATCCCCCAGGAGAGTTGTGCTGATATACAAGCCACTGTTATTGATAAGGACAGAACTTATATCTGCTATTCTGTCAATGATCCACATATTTCAACTTTTGATAAAAAGTAATTACATTTCTGAACAGGTTTATTTAATATCACGAATACTATTCCAAAAATTGGCATACATTCTGAATATTGGCTATGACACATTGTATACATAGCTATGTTAATATCATAATTAATTTTTGGTATTTTAAAGTAGATTGTGGCACGTAGTAGTAAAATTTTGTAAAGAATCTTGTAATAGTATAACATCATTATAATCCTAAGTTAAAATTTAATTTTTGACTTAACCTACATTTTTCCAGTTACTATGACAACCACCTATCAGGTGACTTCATTCTCTACAAACACAAGACACTTCCTTATCAGGTGAAAGATGTTGTAAATTATTTACACTTGTATCGTATTTAAATACATACAACTTTTATCCTATAAACAAGCAGAAAATAAATTAGCGATTTCTTAATTTAAGTGAATTAATTCAGGATTTGATATTTAGTTTCTTGAAAGGCTAGTAGTTGGGTAAAAATTATCATTTGACAGCTGACATTTAGTACAAAAAGTATGGCAATATCGAAAGCTGCTTGCAAACTTGTAAACCGTTAAAAAATATTAAAATTCTATTACAATTAAAAAGATTAAATACACCATTACAAAATTTAAAAAAATAATACATTTTTGATTAAATTGATTAAGTTACAACAGCTAAATCTAAACTAACAGGTTCAGGTAAATTTCCGCCCTTGTTCAGCATCACCAGTTGCCACCTGCAACTGTAAAACTGCGATACAGTCAGGGGATGATGTCATTGTATTTAAGTGAGTTTTTATTTTTTTATTTTAAAATAAATTAATAATTGCATATTTACTTTTTGCATTTCCTAAACAAATAGTGTGCTGTTTTCAATTTTAAAACTCTTTTGTAAACTTATCATTATTGTACTCACTTATAAGTTATAAAAAAAGTAAAACTATGGAAAACATGAAAAATAATTTTATTTATTTATAATGAAAAAATATAGTTTTATGCAAAAAAAAAAAGGTTAATAGCTTGAATAATATACATATTGTTGAAGTTTTTTATAAAATTGGATGTTAAATAAAGTTTAGTTTTTTTTTAAAGTTTCCGCTCAATTTTAAACCATTTTCAATTAGGCCTCTACACGAAAAAACAAATTACTTTTTAAAAAATTATTTGAATTTTAGTTCTTGCGATGTCAGACAAAACCATCTACGGTCAGATGCTGCAGCTCTGGATGTCCAGATTATTCGCAATGGGGAGCTAACTCCTGGAACTAAGATAAAACAACTTGGTGGAGGTCAACAGTATGATGTAGGCTATTTCAACAATTAAAATCATAATTTAATATTGCTATCTATAAAAACAATGATGTTGACTATTATTTGAATTATCAACAATTATGATTTAGTTTCATTAGTTATAAACAGTATAATGTAGGCTATTGTTTGTAATGTTAAAATTATGATTTAATTTCAGTAACTATAAACATAATATAATAAAATATTTTCAGGTGATTTACTAGAATAGCACATACTTAATTTATTATATTGTAGCAAATTTGTTTTCTGTGTCTAAAATTATGATTACATTTTGCATTAACCAATGAGCACATGTGTTTCAGGTTCTTCTACCAACAGGAACTGTTGTGTCTGTTATGCCTAGCATGTACACTTTCATGAACATCTTTATAACAGCATCACCATCTGACTTTAATGAGACAGAAGGTGATACACATTTTATCAAACCACATGCCTCTGTGTGTCTTAAAGTCTTACTTAACTAGTCATATTTTAATTATATATATTTTTTGTACATTAAATATAAGTTTCATATTGAATTATGTTAAATTATAAAGCTTGGCTGTGTTTTTATTATTTTAAAATCCTGACTGAATAGTTTATCCTAGTAACTGGAAACTAATTTTATCGTCACATATAAAACACAGATGTAATGGGAGATATTTTCTTGTTACAATATTTTACTAAATGTATTGTTGTCACAGGTCTATGTGGCAATTTTAATGGTAGAACAGATGATGATATGGGCAATTTGAATGAGGACACATTTAACTCACATTGGAGGTTAGTGCCAATAAATGTTATTATTACTTTAAAGTAATTTAGTTTTTTACCAATCAAATTAATTATAAAAAGTAGAGTAGATGAAATGTTATAAAAGATCTGACGATAAAAAGGAATTAAAAGACAAGATTAAATTGAATCATTTAGACATACATGATTCAGCAAATACTTGTGACTGTGTCTTTAACAGAGCTAGTACAACCATCTACTGTGGTGTGCCAGCACAACAAGATCCTGAACCAGCAACATACAGTAGCTGTACTCAAGGCTTTACATCCATCTCTAAGCCTGGATTGGATGTTTCCAGATGCTCATCTGAAAGTAAATTTAAATATTTTTTCCTGAGTGTTCTAAACTAATGTTAAAAGCAGTTAAGTAAACCTAGCATGGATGCAGTGTTTCTTCCAGACTTTTTTCTCTGGGGGGGGGGGGGGGGGCTTCACCCCCACGAAGAGATGCCTGGAAGAAATCTGCATGGATGTTTCTTGATGTTTATCTCCTATTAAAAAAACATGTTCTTGCACTTTCTAAACATTATAAACAGTACACAAAATAGCTGTCACAAAATGAACCAAATCTTTAGGACTTTATAATTTGTTTTTGGTATTTTATTTCACTATTAGATAATGATATAACAAGTGCACTTAAGCTTCAATCCAAGACTAGTAACAGTTGTACCCCAGAAGCTTCTAGGAAAAAAAGACAAGTTGCTAACTCTTCTGTTTGGGTGAGTTTTTCTTTTGTCTATTGCATTTTCAAATCTTTTAAATAACACTAAATAAAATTTTGAGGTTTCCAAGTCTCTGGCATTTTATGTTAAATTTGTATAGCCCCCTAATCAGGAATATTTGTTATTGGTAAGCATAGAGAAATGTTTCTTTACCAACCTAATAAAGCTATATGGGTCACTATACCATGACTAGTAGAAAAGAATTTAGTCTGCATTTTATTAATAAACAATTGTTTTTATAAACAAAAAGGAACAAGACAAACTTTCGCTGTATTTAAATTTTAAAAATGTATATTTATTATTATTATAGTGAAACAAAATATTTTCTTAGTCTTTAAAAATAATAATTTTAAAAATAATAATAATAATGTTAATAGATTTCAATACAGTAATATTATAAAATGACATTCAGTGTTTCATTTTTTTTAAAAAATATGATTTCCTTCTAAGAGCAAAAGTGCAGTTAACTACACATTAGAAGAGGCTGAAAGAAACTGTTCAGATTACTTGAAGAATAGTAGGACAGTCAAAGCCTGCACAAATCAACTTTCAGATGACAGAGTTAAGGAGAGTGTCACCAACTGTGCTTATGATCTGGTGGTAAATAAAAGAAAACATTTATTTATTCTTTTATACATCAAAACAAAAGTAAAAAAAAGCGTTTTCTTTCATTTTTTATGTCAATTCATTTGCATATTTGCAAATATGTGTTCAAAGTAAATTGTGTACAGAGCACATGCCTGTTTTATTAAATCCTGTGTATAGAGCAGAGTGCTATTTTATTGGGCTGTGTCACATGTTAGTTCCAGAAGTTTAAAATTGTTATAAATTAAAATTTCATCAACAACAGAGCACAGGAATGTTTGATTGGGCTGTGTCCCATGTTAGTTCTAGCAGTTTAAAAATGTTATCAATTAAAATTTCATCAACAACAGAGCACAGGACTGTTTGATTGGGCTGTGGCACATGTAAGCAACCTGGCAGAGGAGTGTATCACACGAGCTGAACAAAACCAAAGTTCATGGACAGGTGAAGGTGACACACCTGGTGAACCTGTACTTCCTCAAGCCATTGTCACCCAGCTGTGTGTCAGGGACTGTGGGGACAACGGGCAATGTCACAACTGTAATATGACTTAAATATTTATTAAATTATGATTAGTAGCCATATAGGTAAATTAAAAAATCAAACATTCAAAATACTGTACTAAAGATAAGAATTCACTTAAATGCAGATTTTATTTTCTTGTAGTTAAATTACAGTATATTGTTTTTTTTAGCTTATTGCAGATGTAAGGACGGCTACTTTGGTGAAAGTTGCCAGTTTGGACCCAACACTGTGCCACTTATTTTTGGAGCAGACAAAACTTGTAATATTCAAGAATCTTCTTGTGAAACAGTCAGGATAGATGGGGATTTTTTCACATCTTCTGATAATCTTGCTTGCCATATAAACTTTGCTGCGGTAAGAAAAAAACAAGTTAAAAAAACGATTCGAACTAGCGATCCATGGCCAGATAAAGTAGAGTTCAGCTGTTTCTATTACTCATGGGCTCATGCTGTAGAAAAAGAAAGGAACATTTTAATACTTTTTTTTCAAAAAGTTTTGAGAAAAAACTGGTATTTACTTTTTGTCAATTATTTTCAGAACATAGCAAATAAAAATAATTGCATTTTTTCAACTAAAGGTGGATACACGTGCTAGAAAAACAGAGAGCAGTGCTGTAGTGAGAGCAGAGTACATCAGCATGTACCAAGTTGGATGTACACTCCCTACACGACGCAGTGCCTACATCACCGTCACAAACGATGGCGTCCATCAGAGTGAAAATGTTTACCTTCATGTTGTCCACAACTCCAGCTGTCAGACTTGTGTCATCAATGACAACAAAACTGATGTTGACTGTCACATTATTGTAAGTTAACAAAAAGCATAAACACTATATAACATTCAGAATTCCCACAATGATATCATATACTGTCGTTCTTTGGAATCTTTTTAACATGCCATTTGTGGCTTTTATCTTTGGCAATGAAGTTATTCTATCTGGCCAAATAATGTTCCCTCTATGGTCAGAGTTTGAAAGCTACTATAAAATATTTTATATTCTATAAAATATTATGGCCATTTTGAATTTGCATTACGTCATCATTTCACGTTCACATCCACATATACTAATTAATTTATATTTAATTTCTATTTATAAACACTACATATTTTTAAAATTAACAAAATGTGTTATTATGCAAATTCCAAAACCTAGACAAATGTGTGTGTGATAAAAGGACAATGTTACTTACAACAGCAAGAAGACTCAGTGGATTCTTGCAACATCTGTAATCTTGATAGCAGCAACACTGTATGGACCAGGAAAACAGGTAACACTTTTGTTTAGTATCACAAACAGTGTTAGTATTATAAAGTTATATCTTTAGGAGTTAAAAAAGCGATTTCAATGTACATAAAGATACAGAGAAATATGTTTGAATAGTATTATATGTTTGCATTATTTTGGTTTGCATAATATATATGTAACAATTTAGCTAAACAATATAAAAAAGGAACATATTTATCTGTTTCTAACTTCTTGTAGATTCAGCATGCAAGGAAGGCTTGTCTAATGAAGCCATCATTGCCATCAGCACTGGTTGTGCTGTTTTTGGGTTGCTTCTCATCCTAGTCGTCATCATAGTTATCCTTAAGAAAAAGAGGTGAGGATTTTGGCAATTTTTAGAGTTCAATGTAAACATTACCATTAAACTGATATTATATAAAAACTTTTTCAAAATATTTTAGAATTTCTGCTAGATGTAATATTAATTAATCCAAAATTGGAGTGAGATATCTATTAGAAGGTTTTTGAAGCTCATACTAAAACATTTTCACAAAATAAAATTTTGAGCCGAAACGATTTCAGTCTTTATTTAGAAATTATTAGCTCAAGAGAATTGCAATTATTTATTTAATTTTTGAAAATATGTTGTTTTTTTTAATTAGAAAAAAATATAATATCAATTTAATATGTTTTATATTCAACAGAGCAGGGAAGTCAGCTGTTTCTTTTTCTTCTACTGTGAAATGAAATCAAAAAGCTTTTTACCGATTGTTTTAATTTTATTTATTCATTTTTAACAATATATTAATTTTGACCAGTTTTAAAAATAATAATATGTTGTATGCAAGAATCATCGTAAAGTTTTGCCCTTGCAACGAAAATAAAATCAAAAATTTTTTATTAATTATTTTTATATTTTTATAAAGACGTATGCAATAAAAATAATAAATATAATATAATAATAATTTTTAAATTGATAATGACAAATTGAAAATAAAAATGAAAACAAAAATATTTTTTTTTTTACAATTTAAAAACAAATTATATACTGATTTTATTTGGTAAATGTTTTTATGCCTTTAAAAGACTATCCTTGTATGCAAATTCATAATAAATATAATCAAATAATAATTTTAATAATATATGTGTCTAAACAGTCTCCACTTTTTTATTTGACACTTCAACTTTTAAATAATTTCTTGACCCAAGACAAATTTGCTAAATTATTTAAAATTGTGCTTACGCTGAAAACATTTTCTTTTCAGTTATTCTCATTCTTTATTATACCAGTTTTGTTTATTAACATTAGAGTACTAGGGTGCGTACTATTTTGTGCTCTATGCTTAAGGTTCATTTTATACTTAAATGTAGATTGATGTCTAACAAATTCTATATTTACACTGTATTTTAGAGCAATGTGTGAACTGGTAGGCGTGGGATGGGTGTGGGAGAGGTCACCGAGAGGGACTTCACAATTTTACATTTTGTGTATTCTTAAAAGTAGGCTATTTGTAATATTATATCATTGATCGATGTACTTGTGTTGACACAGCTCATGTTAACTGGTAGGCGTGGATTGGGGGTGAAGAGAGGCCAAAGATAGGGACTTCACAATTTTTACATTTTGTGTATTCTTAAAAGTAGGCTATTTTTAATATTATATCATTGAACGATGTACATGTTTTGACACAGCTCATGTAATAGGTCTTCTTGATATAAAATTACCGCTTCCAAAATTGCTTTTTATTTTTGACTGTTTCGCTTTAAAATAAAAACCATTAAGAAAATGTGACGGCAATAACCACTTTTCAACTTTTTCCTCGCTTTCCTTAAAATTTTTTTTTCTAAAATACCAGTGCAGGGCCTGGTCGGAACGGTTAATAAATTGTATTGAAAAGACTAACTAGTGTTAGCGACCGCATCTCCCTCCCACAAGAGGAAGTTGCAAGTTATCCTTCCCACACGGAGAAAAATGCCTGAAAGAAACACAGTCTATTATGTTAATGCTATTAAGTGATAGCATGCCCTGACATGAAGGTAATGTAACAATGATCTTGAACCTACAAAAGATACAGTGACCGCCCCCCCCTCCTCAGAGTTTTATCATCAGACTTCCCTCTACTCTCTGTACTATGTAGCCCAAGGAATACGCAATAGTGAATTACAGCAATGAACTACTTACCCTTCAATATAAAGCATCACATTTTGTATGACACTATTTAACAAAAGAATTGTGAAAATATAAGTTGCTTTTTATGTGGATTTCTTTTTTTTTCCCTTATTTCCGCGACAAGCACCATGGTCCACATTGGCTTGGGTGTAAAGATTTTTATAGAAAATCTCTCAATACAGTTTCAATATTTAGAAAAGGAGTGCCAATCTTGAATTTTAATTTTCTAGAGATATTTTACTGAGAGTGACGGGAAGGTGGATGAGGGGGGGGGGGAGGGGTCAGGGGATTCCAGTCTGTTTCCCTCGCGATGCGTTCCTCGCAGTAAAAATGCAATAACGTCCCCTGCCCTAGTGAGAGGTTTATAAAAAGAACAGCATGGTTTGTCAAATTAAACAAAATGTAAGACCCGTGTCATACCAGTATGCATGCAGTGGATATCATGCTCATCGTCCAAGAAAAACTTCAAAATTTAGAGATGTAGGTATAGTCCTTTTTAGGATAATAGAAGCTATTGTAAAATATCGAACAATATGAAATTTATTGAACAAGTTTATTGTTTATACAGTTTATTGAACAAGTTTATTGTTTATACAGTTTATTGAACAAGTTCAATAAACTGTAAAGATTGTATAATAGTGTTACAAAAAAAGTTTCCAAACACGTTACATTTTGTCAAGTGTACAAAAAAAATGGTGTCGTTCTGTACAGAACATCATTCAATAACACATGTTACCATAGACAAATAATCTCAGACCAAACCAACAATAACACCTAGATCTACGAGTCCTGCTAGAGGTGAATTGTATATACAAACCCTAAATATTTGTGAAAACTCACATATAATTTCCTTTACTTTTAGCAGCTTTAATTTTATGTATATGTTTTTTTCCGACTGATGCACCTATTTGTAAAATTATATTTTTTGAAACCACATCTACTTATGCCATATTAATTTATATTTTCTTTGGGAGATTGAAAAAAAATGTTTTTGGCATTTTTAGGAAAATTGTTTTTAATTAATAACAAAAATGTTAAAACACAAAATACATCCAATCTTTAGTAAAGTCAAAAAAAAAAAAAACACCTTACAATCAAGTGATTAGATAACATTTATTTTAATAACTTTGCATACGCTTTTAAAAAATATTGAATTGAACATTCGAAACTTTCCCCGCAAGCTAAGCAGTCAAAGGGAAATAATAAGCAGAAACATTATGTTTCTCTACTACTAGATTACTGTAGCCTATGTGCCCACACAAAAAAGTTATCGATTTTTGAAACTCATCGTGTGGTGTATAAGGTGAAGCTAAACATCCCTTCAAACCTGAAGGCCCAAGCAATGGGTCGCACTATGCCTAGAGTTTCTACTTCTCGCGACTCGAGTACAGTAGCCAAAAAATACGTGGATTCACTGACCAGATAAGGATTCAAACCAGAAAAATTACTATTCGACCCAACCGCACCACAGTTTTGAACCGAGTTTCTTTGCGGCATCTCCTCGGAGGTAGGGGGGGGGGGGTTATCCCAGTGTTCGCCTATCCAGAAATTTTAGTCCGCCCCCCACTAAATGTATGTCGGTGTTTTCAAAACAGCAGTCAGCCAATCCCATATTGCCTCTAAAATGAAATGGCGCTAGTTCCGGGTTGTTGTATGTCAACGCATTATACCTTAGCGTGAATGACGGAGCACTTGAAAAGGAAAAAAAAGAGAGTTGCGAATCGCCATCAAATCTCATCATACAAGAATTTTTATATAAGTTATCTGAGTGAACCAAAAGAATTAGATACAAAAACACATGTGCTGTAAAGATTACAGAATAACTGCCAGATATTAATAGTATAGTGTTGTCAGTACTATGGCTAGCCGCCATTACTTTCCCTAACACAAGTCAGGTACCCATCAAGGCAGGGTGGACTCAACATTGTCCTACTATTTCATGCTCTGGATGTTGAGAGTTAGCAGTCGTACATTCTACAATCCGACCACGCGGTGCTCAGCTTCAGCTTAAACCACATCTCACAAACATCACTGGTCATATTCTCAGTACTTAAAATCTTAACTTTTGCAAAGAGCTAAGTCCTAAGCCATATAATAAATCTCCGCTAGGCTCATTTTTTTCCATAAAGAATTGACCGTTAATTAAAACTAAAACCTAGATCTACATTTTGCGAATCTTTAGCATATAACTTAACGCTGTAGAATACGGAAAAGAAGTACAGAAATCAGACTGCTATGTGGAGGTTAAACATCAACAGCCAGTGGTATATTCTGGATGGGGATTGTTAGACCCCCACCCGTGTCCTTAGATCCCCAAAACGACAGCTGTCCCCAGTTATTTTAGGAACTTGCAATTTCAAAATTGTGTAAATTACAGGCACATCTTTTCGTGGTAAATATATATGAATCCCATACATATAACAAATTTCTTCACACCTAGCTGTGAACGCCTGACATGTCTATTCTAGCAACATACCCTTAATGTCGCTTTTCTGGGGAAACAGATATTCTGTGAATGTTCATCGAAAAAAAAAACCTCGCCTATCTATCGAGTTGTTAAGTAATCTTGTCGTCTAACCGGTTTATCTGTGGGGAGACTTGTAGGGGAGGAGGGAGGTATAGAAGAGGAGGGGAGGAGTTAGAGGAACACAAGGAAAGCAACAAGATAGAGAGAGACAGGGATAGGAGAGTGAAGAGGAGAAATACAGTTGGCGAGACAAAAAAAATTGCGATAATAATTTGTAAGAAATGTATTGAGAAATGTATTTAGTGAATACATGGAAATGATTGTAGACAGAACATAAAAGGGAATTAGAAAAAAAAAGACATGAGAAAGAAGATTATTGGTGTCCTGTTGTTTGTTTGTATAAATCCTTTTATCCGAGTTGTCAAATGTGAAATGTGTATGTGTATGCGTATGCGTATGCGTATGCGTATGCGTATGCGTATGCGTATGCGTATGCGTATGCGTATGCGTATGCGTATGCGTATGCGTATGCGTATGCGTATGCGTATGCGTATGCGTATGCGTATGCGTATGCGTATGCGTATGCGTATGCGTATGCGTATGCGTATGCGTATGTGTATGTGTATGTGTATGTGTATGTGTATGTATTTGTGTTTGTGTTTGTATATGTGTATGTGTATGTGTATGTGTATGTGTATGTGTATGTGTATGTGTATGTGTATGTGTATGTGTATGTGTATGTGTATGTGTATGTGTATGTGTATGTGTATGTGTATGTGTATGTGTATGTGTATGTGTATGTGTATGTGTATGTGTATGTGTATGTGTATGTGTATGTGTATGTGTATGTGTATGTGTATGTGTATGTGTATGTGTATGTGTATGTGTATGTGTATGTGTGTGTGTATGTGTATGTGTGTGTGTGTGTGTGTATGTGTATGTGTATGTGTATGTGTATGTGTATGTGTATGTGTATGTGTATGTGTGTGTGTATGTGTATGTGTATGTGTATGTGCGTGTGCGTGTACGTGTACGTGTACGTGTACGTGTACGTGTACGTATATATATATATATGTATATATATATATATATATATATATATATATATATATATATATATATATATATATATATATATATATATATATAATATCTATAGTGAAGTAAATAGTTGGTGTTTATGTTTTGTTTCTCAATATTTGCGCCGTCTAACAACTGTGACCTAGGTCTTATCCCATAAGGGCCATGGCCTTGGCCTAGATTTCCATGGCCAGGTCCTAATGTGGCACGACGGGAATTCCAGCGTAAAAGTAAAAGAGAAATTACTGTTAAGATCTCAATACTAAAACTTAAGC